AGCTCAAGGTGAGCGCTCTACCACTTGAGCTACAGCGCCACTTCCGGTTTTCTGGTGGTTTATTGGAGATAGGAGTCTCACAGTCTCTCCTGCCTGGGCTGGCTTTGAACTGCGATCCTCAGATCTCAGCCTCCTGAGTAGCTAGGATTACAAGTGTGAGCCACCAGCACCCAGCTCCTTGGAATATTTCTAATCTTTGGATATCACTGAAATAGAGGATTAACTAACTCCCTTGCTTTGAAGTTTTGTGATCCTTCCTTTTATCTCACTCCCAAGTCAGCTATCCTTTCAAATACTTAACATCCTAGAATTTGTCACAGGCATAATTTCTGAGTCCTACCATTTTGAAAATGCTATGATGCTTTCTATTCCTTCCAACTCTACTGTTACCAATCTAACACTTTGCAGAACACATTCATACTCATCCTTCTCCAACTTTCACTTAGCTCTTGTTCCTTGCCAACACTTCCAACTCTGCTGTTATATTTTCTGCTTAATCTGGTAGGGGAGGGTGGGTGAGTGGAGTTTGGACAACACATTTCTTATTTCAGTCATGTCTCTTAAGGCCTGAGAAGTACCTAGAATGTAGACACACACTCAACATCTCAATAGTTTGTTCTGTTCTCTTTTTAGGCTAATATCTCTCAGGGTACTTTAGTTACTTCTCTGTGGTTTACAAATTTACTCTTCTTTATTCCTGCATACTAGCTTTCAAATTTAAAATCTTCTTGGACCTTACTCCAGGTTCACCAGAGAATCAGACTCCCCTACTTAGGGGAATTAATTTATTCCTGAAGTGCAAGAGACCATATTATAGACATTGGTGCTGGAGCTTACCCTTCACTAGTGGAAATGAGTGTGGTGTTACTTCTTTTGGTGTTAGCTCATCAGTCTTTTTTCTGTTTTTTTGGTTGGTCATGGGGCTTGAACTCTGGGCTTGGGTGTTGTCCCTGCACTCTTCAGCTCAAGGCGAGTGCTCTACTGCTTGAGCCACAGCACCACTTTCTGTTTTCTAGCGCTTTATTGGAGATAAGAGGTCTCACAGACTTTCCTGCCTGGGCTGGCTTTGAACCGAGATTCTCAGATCTCAGCCTCCTGAGTAGCCAAGATTACAGGCATAAGCCACCAGCGCCCGGCTAGCTCATCAGCCTTTAAGGTCTTCAGTTTGTTCATGAATTGGCTTTAGGGAGTCTGAATTCATTAACATTATTGCGCGTGCGTGCGTGCGTGCGTGTGTGTGTGTGTGTGTGTGTACATATGTGAAATCCACAGTTTTATACATATTCTTAAATAGAACCATGACTTAGGTAAAGGAGTTTACTCTAGAGGTGGTTTTACTATAGTCATCTATGATTCCACTTAAAAATATTAACAGTGAAAGATTGTATTTTATATTTAAGATTATTATTTTTTTTTTTTGTCGGTCGTGGGGCTTGAACTCTGGGCCTGGGCGCTGTCCCTCAGCTCTTCAGCTCAAGGCGAGCGCTCTACCACTTGAGCTACAGCGCCACTTCCGGTTTTATGGTGGTTTATTGGAGATAGAGTCTCACAGTCTCTCCTGCCCGGGCTGGCTTTGAACCGTGATCCTCAGATCTCAGCCTCCTGAGTAGCTAGGATTACAGGCGTGAGCCACCAGTGCCCGACTATATTTAAGATTATTAAAGAGGGGCTGGGAAGATGGCTCAGTGGTAGAGCGCTTGCCTTGCATGCTCGAGGCCCTGGGTTCGATTCCTCAGCACCACATAAACAAAAAGAAAAGCCGGAAGTGGCGCTGTGGCTCAAGTGGTAGAGCGCTAGTCTTGAGCTGAAGAGCTGAGGGACAGCGCCCAGGCCCAGAATTCAGGCCCCACCACTGGACCCAAAAAAAAAAGATTATTAAAGAGGTGAAGAAAACATAACTTTCAGTTAAAAAAATGACCTCTTCAAGGTATGAGGGTGACAAGGACATGTTATAAACCAGTATTTTTGTTTGTTACATGTATTTTAGATCAACAAAGGAGAATATTTTTACCACCTCCACCTGGAATTAGAAAATGTGTCATATCCACCAATATTTCTGCAACATCTTTGACGATAGATGGGATCAGGTACAACTTTTGAAAATTCTCCTAATTCAAAGAAACCTCTGTAGTTTTCTTTTTCCAGTACAGTCAAATACTATTAAGTAATTTGCTTTAAAATGTTGCTTTAGTGAATTAGAGACTTACTGTTGGTCCTAACTTAATTCTATACCTGACTTGTTTTCTATTTATTTGACTTAAAGTTGTGTTTAAAGGCTATTAAGGGTTGATTTTGAATCTATTAGAATGGTCTAGATCTGACTTTGAAGTTTATTTAATTTCTTTTATTGGGATATAAACAAGTGATATTTAGTACATTTGCAGTATGTATCTCTATTTTAGAACATTTAACCACCTTGTCCATTCCCCACATTTGGCTTCTTCACTTTTGCCCCTAGCAACCACTAGTGTAGTTTTCATTTCTATTCTGGATATATCATATAAATGGAATTATACAATATATGACTTTTTATGTCTCATTTTTTTACTTAGCATGTTTTAAAGGTTCATCATAAAGTAGCATGTATCAAACAGTATTTCATTGTATATCTACCCCTTGTCTTTAGTGAACATTCAGATAGATTTTTCTTTATGTTGGGGCTATGAATATTTATCTACAAATATTTGTGTACTTGTTTCAGTTCTTTTTGTGTGTATATTTTGTAATGAAAATGCATTTTAAGATTTATTTGTTAGTTGTGAGGCTTGAACTCTGGGCTTCGGCATGTTCCCTTAACTCCCCAGGTAAAAGCTAGTTCTCTACCACTTGAGCCACAACACCACTTCCAGTTTTCTGGTGGTTAATTAGAGATAAGAGTCAAACGAGCCAGGTGCCGGTGGCTCACACCTGTGAACCTAGCTACTCAGGAGGCTGAGATCTGAGGATCATGGTTCAAAGCCCGCCCGGGCAGGAAAGTCCGTGAGAAAAACAGGAAGTGGCGCTGTAGCTCAAGCTAGAGCGCTAGCCTTGAGCTGAAGAGCTGAGCGACGGTGCTCAGGCCCAGAGTTCAAGGCCCACAACCGGCCAAAAAAAAAAAAAAAAAAGTCAAATGGATGGGGCTGGGAAGGTAGCTCAATGTTTGCCTTGCATGCATGAGGCCCTGGGTTCAATTCCTCAGCACCACATAAGCAAAAAAGAAAACAAGCCAGAAGTGGTGCTGTGGCTCAAGTGGTAGAGCACTAGCCTTGAGCTGAAGAGCTGAGGGACAGTGCCCAGGCCCAGAGTTCAGGGCCC